ATTAATTAATTAATTAATTAATTAATTAATTAAATTAATTAATTAAATTAATTAATGGTTATAAGAATGCTGCATATAAATAAAGTCAGCATTTATTAAACCAATAAAAACAAAATTAAAAAATAACACATAAAAAGCACAAACATTTATTTATTTATATATTTATATATTTATTTATATATTTATTCCCTCTGCTGCTGCTGCTACTGCAGCAGCAGCAGCAGCAGCAGCAACAACAACAACAACAGCAACAACAACAACAACTACTACTACTGCTGCTTAAGCTGCTGCTGTTTGATTTCGTATAAAGATACAAGTAAGCAACAACAGCTACTCCTGCTGTTGCTGTTGTATCTCCTCCGTGTTACTGCTCCCCTTCCTCTTTTTCTTCCTCTTCCTCTTCCTCGTACTGCTGGTGCTGTTGTTGCTGGTGCTATTGCTGCAGTAGTTACTCTGTCTCTGTTTGCGGTGCTTGAGTACCACCACCAAAGAACCATCCCCATAGAGCCTTAGCTGTATCTTTTGCTGCACCTAAGAAGCCAACCTGAGTAATTAGATCAGAGAAAAGATTAATTGCCTTATCTCCCTCTAATAAAAGATGAATAAGACGCCATAAAGAAAACTCTAAAAAAATAGATAGACGACCTAGAGAATCTAATTGTATTATATTTAATATATAATGAGCTAAATCATCCCTTTTATCATGCAAATAATCAGCAATTATATCTATAATTATATTTATATTTATACATAATAATTCACCTATTAAATAATTCTTAAATAATATATTTATTATATTTAATAATTCATTTATATTATTATATATTATTTTTATTATTTTTTCTTGAGTTTTTTTTTCTTGTAATAATTCCTCAAGGTGTATAGACACCCCATATATTAAACCACGAATTAATATATCTATACCTATATAATTATTATTTTTATTTCTTTTTTTTATATCATTCTCTATCTTATAAGATTCAGGTAATATATTATAATGTATATTTCTTGCTAATAATATTAATTGTATTTTTATTAAGGATTCAGGTAATATATTATTTATATTTATTATATTAGGTAATATTATACTATTTAATATATTTATGCATACTTTTTCTGCTGTATCCTTAACAGATCCAATTACATTCTTTTTTACTCTTAATACACCAGCTATATTATAAAATATATTAGGTAATAATATAGGTATATATATACTTATTAATCGAGGTATATCCCCTAATAACATTAATACTAATAACTTTGCTATACCTAATGTACCTCTTCCTTGTTGCTGTTGTTGTTGTTTCTTCCCTATAATTGAGGAAGAAGAAGAAGAAGAAGAAGCAGAGGAGGGAGAAGAAGAAGAAAAATAAGAAAAAGAAGAAAAAGAAGGAGAATAAGGAGAATTAATCTGTATAAGGGATTTATTATGATCATTTATTGTAGATCTACGTAATGTTGTAGATAATAATTTTATTTCTTTTCTTTCTTCTTTTTCTTCCTCTTTTTCTTTATTTATATTTATTCCTTCTTCTTGTTCTTCTTGTTCTTCTTCTTCTTGTTCTTCTTGTTCTTCTTTATTTATATATTTATTATTATATTCCTCTTCTTGTTCTTGTTCTTGTTCTTGTTCTTCTTTATTACTATTTATCTCCATCATCATATAAGGACTTTGTGTTTCTTCTTGCTGCTGTTGTTGCTGCTGTCCTCCTCCTCCTGCTGCTCCTTCTTCTTCTGCAACTGTTTCTGCTTCTTCTTCTGCTGCTGCTGTTGCTGCTGGATTTGTTGGTGTATTTAATCCTTGTAATCTTTGTTTAATAATTAATTGCTGTTTTATTTGCATTTGTTGCTCAGTAACAGAAGATTTATTTATAAATGTTAATTCTTTTGCTGTATTTAATATAATTTTTATAATATAATCAATAAAAAGAGTAATATTATTTATTAATTTTTTTTGCCATAAATATAATTTAGGTCTTAATTTATATATTCTATCTATAATTAAATTAAATATATTTATTAATTCTTTCTTTATTTTCTTATAAGAAGAAGAAGTACTACTATATAATTCTTCTTCTCCTCCTCCTCCTTCTTCCTCTTCTTCCTCTTCTTCTCCTCTTTCTTTTTTCTCCCTTCTTCTTCTTCTTCTTTCTTCTTCTTCTTCTTCTTCTTCCTCCTCTCCTGCTCCTCCTCCAACTCCAATTCTTACTCCTTTTCTTGCTCCTTCTTCCTCTATTTCTTCATCTATATTTTCTTTAGGGAAATAAGAAGAAATATAACGAATAATACCAACTTTTAATGAGCTAGCGGGGTGTATCTGCAGCTCCTTAGATGTATATATTTTTTTTATAGATAAAATAGATATAATAGGCATATTCATAGAAAAACGACCAAGTTGTATTCTTATTATATGTGCTTGTATAATACGCATTAATATATTTATTAAGGGTATAGGTGGTCCTCCTTTATTACTATAATTATTATTATGTATTAATTTGCATATATTTTTTTCTTCTTTTATTACTTGTATATCTAACATATAATCAACAAAATTACACATAGTTATATATACATCATTAGCTGCATCTAGTAATTCTTGTTCTGTTTGTTTTGTTGCTTCTTCTTCTTTTGCTGCTATTGCTGCTGTATCTCCTTTTGCTGCTATTATTGTTGCAATTTCTGCTGCTCTTTGTTCTTGTTTATCTACTAATTGTATACTTGCTTGATGTATTGTTGCTGCTAATGTATTACCAGGTATAGGGAAGATCATAGGATGTAATTGATTAAGGAATTGTTTCTGTAATATAGATGACCATTGGTCCTTTATAGCACTTGTATCTAATTGATTATACATATAATTAATAAAAAAATTCTTTAATAAAGAATAATTTCTTGTATATTTATTACATTCACATCTTTCTTTTATTGGTTCCTCTGCCTCTCTTAATTGTTGACAAAAATTAGGGGAAGAAAAAGGTATACGTGCTAATATTATTTTCTTTATTGTATCTAATTCTTTACATAATTTATTTAATATTATATCTTTTTTATCTAATATTTCTTTTGTACATTGTTGTGTATATATAGATTTACATATAGGATAATGTGTTATATTATTAGGTATATTCTCTATATCTATACCTATATTCATTAATCTTAAGGTAATTGCATCTATTATTTCCCTATATATTATTATATCCTCGTTATTTATACCTAATATATTTATTGAGGAATTCTCTGAATTTGCAGGAATCATACGACAAGCTAAATGGTATATTCTTGTTAATGTTGCATGCGCGTATTCTTTTGTAGGTTTTTCTTTCTTATATTTATTTACTAATGTTATCCAACTCTCTATATTACTAAATCTTTTTATTTCTCTTTTTAATACTCCTTTTGTATCCGTCATCTGTAATTGAGATATAAATGCAGATATTGTTGCTCCTTCTTGTATAATTAAGGAAAAATCTCTTATATTCTTAGGTAATCTAAAGAATTCCTCTATTATATCCTCATTACCTGGATAATATTCTATACATATATTCATTATTCGCCACCATAAAGATAATATACGTTTATCTGTATGACTTATGTATCCTCTTCTTCTTATTCTTGGTCTTATATCATGTAATGTTGTATCTATTACTTTTATTAATGTAGGTATACGTATTATAGATACAGGAAGAGGAGAGAATAATTCCTCTATTTTCTTCCTTAATTGATCTAATATACAAGGAGGCATCCAATAACCACTTTCTTCCTTACTTGCTAAAACAGACAAAGGAGTAAATGAAGGAAATGCCGTCATTGATACAGATACGTCTGCCTAAGCATAGTACACACACATACATCCAGCAGTGCAGCACCAACAGTATATAAATATAAATATATATATATATATATATAATAACAATATTATATTATATAAATATACAACAAGAAATAAAAAAATATATAATAGGAAACAATAATACAGTACGTAAACTGTAACAAACCAACAACAGCAACAACACAGCAACAACAACAGCAAACAACAAGATCATCATCATCATCACCAACAAGAACAAGAACAAGAACAAGAACAAGAACAAGAACAAGAATAAGAACAAGAACAGGAACAAGAACAAGAACAGGAACAGGAACAAGAACAAGAACAAGAACGGGAACAAGAACAAGAACAAGAACAAGAACAACAAACACCAACACCAACAGAAACACCAACACCAACAGAAACACCAACAGCAACAGCAACACCAACAACAACAGCAAGAACAAGAACAAGAACAAGAACAAGAACAAGAACAAGAACAAGCACAAGAACAACAACAACAACAGGAGGAGGAGTAGGAGGAGGAGGAGATGGAGAAGGAGGAGGAGGAGGATGAGTAGACACTGACCTCTAGTCTACCATATAATTCTTGAAAAGACCAAAGAGCGATGAATGAATTCCAAGTTGTATGTTGTAATGCTTGTCTATGATTAGATGTTAATAATGTTGTTGCTGCATGCGGAGGAGGAAGATGTAACAAAAGTATACGAAAATTTTTATCTTTTTTTATATATTTATTTAATAAATTTATTATTGTATTCGTAGATAAAGGAGATGAAAAAAATATATCTTCCTCTTCTCTTTTTTCTCCTTCTTTTCCTCCTTTTTCTTCTCTCTTCTCTTCCCTCATAGACATTATATAACCTAAGCCGGTCTTAAATGCTATAAAACTTTCCTCAAATGTTATAGGAACCTGCAAGAAAAAAAAGAAGAAAAAAAAGAGCAAAAAGGAGAAAAAATATATATTTATCCTTCTTATATACACACAATTATATATGCATGCATGCATATGCTTATACATGTAGATATATATTTGTATATCTAAAAGTATACAACATTATATACAATATATTTATATTATTAAATAAAACACATACATAATATATACATATATTATATGTATATATATGTATATATATATGTATATATATGTATATATATGTATATATATTTATATTACCTGTTCTAATGCACTTTCTGTTCTTTCTTGTCCAGTAACTTGAGAGAAAGAATCTGCAGCTAATAATTCACTAACAGCATCTCTTCTTTGTATAAGTTGTGTAAGAACAAGAAGAGTAATGTATACATGGTTCCACATAACAGAAGGATGAGGACAATAAGATCCAGCCCCAGCCCCATTGCATGCATTAAGTATACTATAATCTATAGGAAATAATTGGAAACCTGCATGCATAGCTAATGGATTACTCCTAACCATCTTTGTAGCAAAAGGAAGAGGAACAGGACCATCATATACCTTAACACGTAATGCATATAGAGAGCGTAGATGAATACTACGTACAGGTAGCTGTAGATCCTTATACAGCATCTCTGCCATACCCTCAATAGCAGCAAATCTCTCCTTTTCTTCCTCTAAGGAAGAAAAAGGAGAAGAATTACTATTAGATAAACGTACAAGTACTTCGTATCCTGCAGATCGTAAACTGCTACTCAGGGTAGCAGGAGTAACTTCCTCATTAGGGTTTTGTGCTTCTTTTAGTACATCTAACATAACAAGATGTAAATATTTCATGATTTGTATCTTATAATCACTACGAACATCCATTCCTGCTTCTTCTTCTTGTATTGCTTGTCTATATTTATTCAATAATATAGATATTGATGCTTGTAATGTACTTATTATCTGTACATTATGTGTTCTTGTTGCTGTATGTTTATATTCCTCTAAATCCTCTAAATCCCCTATAGCAATTTTTGCTGAGGAAGAAGGCCGATCTATCCTCCAATACTTGAATAAGAAAGGAGAAACCATTCTTTTTCTTGCTATTGTCTTACCTAGTTGTAACTTAGGTTCTTGAAAGAATAAAGATCCCCACATACCGTATTTCTTCTCACATTCCTCTAGTCTTGTTCTATCTATACACATTGCCTCTAAATCTTCTCCGGATAATGTGCTTCCTGTACCGGGTGTAGACACTGCATGCAGCTGATTTACCCATGCAGTGTATGCATTGGCTAGATTCTCCACGAATTCCTCTTTCTGTTGACCAAGAGCATCAATAAGTTGCGCATATTTTGGCTGCATTAATAAGGCATTAATACGTAAACTCCATGATGGATCTGTTGCTGTTCTTGATACCTTGAAGAAATTCAACTTAAGGGAGTATTGCTCTCTTTGTGCTCTCTTCTCTGCCTGATTCTGCAAGAGGGCGGATGCACCAAATAACGATCTTTCCCTACGAAATGATCCAGCTAATACACTACGAGAAGAAACAAAGATAAATATTAACCAACGTAAAGAAGGATATACTAATGTACCCGAGTTTGCAGACTCTGAATCCATTACCCGGGTCATTGTACGAACCGTCAATCTTCCTAGTCGTGCCTGCAGCAAAAAGAAGAAAACAAAGAGAAATGGTGATATAAAACATAAGTAATTAATTATTCAAGAAAAATAAGGACAAGGATAACAAGGACAACATTATAATATCTTTATTCGTACCTCTTTTCTGTCCCTCGTTGGCAATTCACTACTCGGCTGATTCATAGCCCGCACACGGATTGTTATTGTTTGCAGTTTTGCTCGTTCTACCCACCAAAGTGCCAATTCTTCTTTATCTGCAGAAAGAAAGGATTAATCTTAACATTTATAACATGAGTGGCAAGTCTAAACCCTAAACCCTAAACCCTAAACCCTAAATATTTGAATGAATGGTGTGTATAAATTGACGTACCTTCGGTGCGAATATATTCAACTCTTCGTAGACAGCCAGCGGCGCCACCAATTGCCTTTCCTGTAATCCATGCTGCAACTTTTCTGATTGTACCCTTAAGATCAGTAGTCGATCTACATGGTGCATGCAACTGAATAGGTATTTGTGCAATTTCTTTTTGATGGGCAAAATGGTCAAAACTGAATGTACGATGAGCAGCAGTTTCCTTAGGAATGACGGTAAGCTGCATAGGACCTGAGTTATGTTGGGGGCTACCCATAACAAGATGGAAATCAATAGAGAACCAATAAGGTTGTGTATAATATTCATAATCAAGAAGAAGAGGAAATAACGATCTTGTCTTAAATGTATCTGCATTCTTCTGCAATTCGCTTACTCTTTTTATACCACGAAATACAGAATTCAAGTTGGATAAAGGTGTTGTTATTCTTTGTTCTTCTGTGTTTATATATTCCTTTATAGTATCATTAATTGTATGAACAAAATCTACTTGTGCAAATGATTGTGTCATTAAAGGTTTCTGTTTTGTATCCAATACACATAACAGCTTCCTCTCTCCCTCAATAGTGTATATCTTTATTTTTCCTCTTCCTCTTTCTCTATTAGGTTCCTCCATGAAAGAAAATCGTAATAAAGGTTTCCTGAATAAACGTTTGAGTAATTTTCTTGCATCAGGGTCTTCTTCTGTTATCCGTTCAACAAAGAAAGAAAGTCTTATCTTATTACCGCATATAACTACCTGTAACACAAGGTTCCCTATTAAGCCATAAGTAGCTGCCTGTACAGTTGAATAGAATTGCATGCGGTAATCTTTTGTTTCTAATTTCCACTCTTTTCCCCATAAAGTAAACATAGATATATCTGCAACATTCTCAAAGGGAGCAAGGGCTGTATTATATATAATTTTCTCCATAGGGGAACCACCAAGAGGTGTACCCTCCGTCATTCGTGGATTCAATACACTTAGGACTTGGTCGCTAAATGCCGTCAGGAATGCCTCATAAACATATTTCTGCCCCTCTGTATCCAATACACGAGATTTCTCAAGGTAATACTTCACCAACTCTGCATGCACTGTACGCGGGCGGGCAAGAGCACGACTTGGTAGTTCTTTTGCTCCTACTGCAAGTAAGGTATTAGATAAATCCGCAGCAAATTCAGATAATGCCTGAGTTAATGGCTCAACTACTACCCTCAAGGCATTTTCTACCATCATAGGTACATGTAGTCGCACATTCTGCTGAGTATAAGAGGCAATAGAAGAGAGAGAGGTCGCGAAATTCAAGTTCTGCAAGTTGATGTTGACACCTGTCCAACGAACAATATTATCATTTAATGAATTAGGATCAAGATATTCATTAAGAACAACATTAAGTACAGCATCCTCAATATCTGCTGCAAATCCTAATAGTGTACGACTTAATATTCTTGGTATATTTGCATTAGCAAATATATGTTCAACAAGACTGCGGGTAGCTTGGGACTCCATTATACCCAATACAGCAGGAAGAACATTCGTTAGTACTGTATAATCTAAATTAAAATAACAATTAGCAAGAACAGCTGCAGATATTAACATGGATCCAATTCTTCTTGAATCTTCTTTCCCATCTTTAGGACCTAACTTCCCTATCCAGTAACGTAGAGCATATGGTGTCACCCAGCCAACCGTCTTGCGCACCAAACCACGAATTAATAAAGCAATTATACTACTACGAGCAATTCGGCGAAATAAAAAGGCACTAAGTTTTCTTGATTTCAACTCGGACACCAAAAGTGCAGAAATCGGCGGCGCTGTTAGCTCTGTACAGACAGCACAACATTGGCAAAAAAAAAAAGCACCAATATAGAGTATACGCAATTAATAATGTAAAGAAGGAACTAGTAATTACGATATATTTATTCTTTTTATGGCTTATTAACGAACCTCTTGATACTTTCAGCAGAAATATGTCCTGCCTCCACTCAGCAAATGATTTTGCCTGACGGATTGAACGAAGAGTAACTCCGCTATTTCCTGCAACAAATATTCCTTTTTCTCTTAAATACCCAACAATTAAATCTGCAAGAATTGGCAAGAATACAGCAAACAAAGAAGAAGAGGATAAAATAGGATCAGAAACAGCCTTTAGCTGTCTTGTTGTATTCTATAGATAATATGTATATATATATGTATGTGTTGTATGCCTCTTGATGCCCAATTCCTTATATACAGATAGTAATTATATTTACTTGTTATTGCGTATGCGCCATAACGTTTGAAGGATTTATCGTCAACAAATCCAACAGCTTGGTGTAGTGCTGCAGGAATACAAGAAAGAAGAATAATAACAGAGAAAAAGAGAGTATAACTGTATATAGTACAACAATACCTTTATCCAGAGCCTAATAAGAAACTAATAAGTATAGAATAAGCATGCACTCTATACAAGAAGAAGAAGAAAAAAAAAAAGAGAATAATAATAAGAAACTTACTCCTTATAGAATAATATAACCTCTTAACAGCTTGAATACCAAGAACACTAACAGCTTTTTTTGTATCCTCTTGTCCTCTTAGATTATCCTTAATTGTTCTCCATGGTGTATCTGGTGCCTTATATAGAGTCTCTGCTATAGCAGCCCATACACGAACTTCGTGCCCTCTTACTATACCTTTTGTTCTTACTGCTCTCCTTGCGCTACGCTTTGCTGAATAAATAAATAAATAAATATAATAAATAAATAAATAAAGGAATTAAATCATCAATTAATATATAGGATTCTTTTCTATATATATACAACAAATAAGTACTGTATACAGCTCCTTGTTATATATATATATATATATATATATATATATATA